CATACAGATGTAAAATAGCATTGGGGAGATAATCAACCCCTGTGGAACCCCACAATTGAGACTCCATGGGGCCGAAACACTTTCCCCAAGCTGTACTCTCTGGGGACGGTCCTCCAAGAAGGAACGGAGCCAGGCAAATGCCTGGCCACCAATTCCCAACTCAGAGAGCCTCCCCAGGGGGATACCGTGATCGATGGTATCAAAGGCCACTGAGATGTCGAGGAGGACCAACAGAGACACTTTGCCCCTGTCAGCCTCCCTCAAGAGGTCATCATACAGGGCGACCAATGCCATTTCTGTACCATGGCGTGGCCTGAAGCCTGAATGAAATGGATCCAGGGCATCTGTTTCATCCAAATGTGCCTGGAGCTGGACAGCCACCACCCTCTCGACCACTTTGCTAATGAAAGAAATATTGACGATGGGTCTTTAATAGATGTAAACATCAAATATTTTTGTTTCTTAAGTCAGTGGTCTCCAACCTTAGGCCTCCAGATGTTCTTGGATTACAACTCCCAGAAGCCTTGACCACCACCTCTGTTGGCTAGGATTTCTGGGAGTTGAAGTCCAATAACATCTGGAGGCCCAAGGTTGGGGACCACTGTCTTAAGTGATACACAAAAGAAGCTCTGACTCATTAAAATTATTTGTTAAAAGAAACAAATGATTATTGATTATCAAAAGAAATAGGAGAGTTATTTTTGAAGATGAGTGGGCTGATAATGATGAATACTTACCAACTGGTGAAGCATTTCATCTTTTTTCTTGTGTGGTAAAAAGGAAAGCCAGCTTTTAAATCTCTCAGCTAGGTTTGACAGGACGTCTTTCTACAAAGAATTTTAAAATTTCATAAATATAAGCAATTATCTTAAAACCACAAAACACATTTCTATGCAAGAAGATTAGACTGAGGGTTTTTTAAAAGCAGTTATGCAAAGTTTTTCTGCAATACACAGCGGATTCTGAATATTAACTCCAAATTGATCCACTTTCCCCTTTTCTTGATCTATCATGAAGAATGGACAAGGAAATACTTGAGTGGCTAGTGAAAACAAAGCAAAAAACAAAAACAAACCTTAGAAAATCTCTGAAGCCTCGGCCTAACATACAGTGGAAACTTAGTGGTTAATCAATTGTTCACATCTTCACAAATTACCAAATTAACACTTCCTTGAATCAAGCCACATACAGTCATATTCAGCCATACAGAGCCATAATGACAAATGTAGTGTAAAACAAAGAAGACTACTAAAGACTGGCTAGTTAACTGCCCTTAACATATATGTACAGATGGGTAGATGAAAAAAACAACTAAGGAGTATGTTTTTTCCTTGTCTTTCAAAATATATTTGCATATGGAATGGTAATTTGGGTTCAATTATCCATTCAGAATTAAAAAATAAGGGGAGGGGGGCTGTAATAAGCTGCTGCAGTGTCCCACTGAGTATGTTGACTGCTCAGCAATGTCAGGAGGATGCCCCACAAGTCAGTCAGCATCTCATGGTCAGTGACTGTATTCATTCTTCATTGGGTTGATTTTGTCCCTGAATATTTTCTGTATTTCTGAAAAGCACAAATCTCCCCAAAATCTTTTCCACCTTGTTTGACAACAAGACACATTTTGGCTATGTCAATAATGGTGCTGAGCTTTGTACCTCAGGATTCTATGCTGTTAATTTATGAAAGGGGTGGGGAACATTTTGCCCTCCAGTTGTTGCTGAACTATTACTTCCATTATACCCCAGGGGGATGGGAACTGAAGCTCAACCATTTCTAAAAAACCACAGGTTTCCCAGGCCTTTCATTATTCCTTCCCTTTATTTAAATGGAAGACTGTCACTACTGTTCTGAACCAGTACTATCAGTTGTTTCAAGACTAGAAGTAGAATGCCCACAAACCAACACATCAACCAGTCTAGCAGTCTGTCTTCAAAGAATTGCTGGATAGCTTAGTGGTTTAGATCTCTGGCTGTGATGCCAAAGGTTGGGAGCTCAATTCCCCACTGTGTCTCCTTGACAGGGACTAGACTCGATGATGCATAGGGTTCCTTCCACTTTTGCAGTTCCAAGATGATTATTAAAATGGGCATTCCTGGATGGTATATAGGAAAATGAAAATTTGGGGCATATGTATATGGAGTATCACAGGGACAATGACTGTGTAAAATTGTTCCAAGCATTTTTAGTCCCCAAATAAAACAATCACATCCAGGAATCATGATAAAATAGGTACAGTACTTTAGGGGAAAGAGAGTCAAATACCATGTTAGTGATTAAACTTCTGTAACACAAGTCAGGTTACATTAGTTCCTTTCCAAATAAACTAGAAAAAGAATAATGCAAAGAGCATTTTGTATTTGTATTTCTTAATTAAAAGTCTCAGGCTACATGGCAAATCCGTGTTGAAACAGAAGTTACTCGGCATATGATAATAAGTATGAGGTGGCAATAAAACTGCCATTAAAAGGGGGGGACAGTTAGGACTGCCAATCAAGTAGCTCTTAAGATTATACGTACAGTATAAAAGGTTTTCTGCATTATCATACTCCACAGTAGTGTTTGATCTATGTACATATTCTGTATTTTTAAAAATCCATTTTACAATACAATGAAGCCACTTGAACAAATCATACGTACAGATTCCCAGTCTTATTTGGTCAGTAAATAATTATCAAAACTGGCATAAACTTTAGACACAATTATGCAAGAGAGACAACAGTTTCAGGATCTTCATTACACTTTAAAAACAGCCCAATCAGACTGAACAGTTAGCAGCTTTCCTTGTGGCAATAAATCTATTATGTTCTTTGAATATCTTTTTTTGGTCTATTTCACAGCTGCACTAAAATACTGAAATTTCTGTCTGGTAAGTATATGAATTGACATACAAAAGGTTCTATCATTAACATTATTTCACCTTATTTCAAATGAGGTGTTTTTTTTCCTATCAACCTCTTTTACTGTCAGCTTTCACATCCGTACACAGTAGTTAGAAATACTGTAACAAGGATCCCTTACACTTCAGGATTTTTTTCCATTTCCTTCATGACTGCACATCCCAGTTTCCGTCTCTATTTGGATTGATGACTGAACTGAGTTATAGAAAACTTCAATAACTCCAATTTCTCCACTGTTAACATTAAAGTGATATAATTTTTCTATCTGTTATGTGCCTTCAAGTCGGAATTGACATATAGTGACCCTAATAGAGCTTTCAAGGTAAATGATATATTTAATAAATGATTTTTGGCAGTTCTACACCCCCATTGAGTTTCCATGGCTGAGCAACGACTCAAACCTAGGCCTCCTGAGTCCTAGTCATTTATCATATCCACTACACCACACTAGGTATCCCAATTTTATGTAGTCCTGATTTTTATTCTTAATGTTCAACTGTAGTCCCATCTCTGCACTTTTTTCTTTAATCTTTAGCAGTAGTTGTTTCAAGTCATTTTTGTTTTTCTGCCAGTAAATTGATCTGTGTTATCTTTAATTACTGGTGTTTCTTCTATCAGTTTTTTCAAGTGAATATAATCAGCCTTGATGTACGATATGTTCAACGTATAAACGTAACAAAAAGAGATAAAATGCACCCTTTTGTAACACTTTTCCCTACTGGGAACTATTCTGCTTCTCTCTATGCTTTCCTAACAACAGCCTCTTGTCCAGAGTAAATGTTTCTAGCTCTACATCTCTAGTATTCACAGCTTCTTAAATTATTCATTTATCCTGGAATGTCATTGTGGTGTCCACCCTTGCGCCCCTTGACCGTCAAGCCTCAGAACACACAAAGGCAAACACTCTCTTCTTTTACACTCGCTGCCACCAGGTGATCTCTAAATCACCATTACTTCAGAAAGATTTAGGTCCACAATTCAAGTTCTTTTAAATAAAACTTTGGTTTATTGATTTCAGAGATTCATAAACATCTTCAGTAACTAATCACACCTAAATTTCCCAAAGTACACACTCTATTACTCTGTCTGGCTTTTCTCTCCTGCCTGACTCTTAAATTTCTCTCTAACTCCCCCTGACTGACTCAGGCTCCGCCTCTTATAGCATCTCTCTCAGCTCCGCCTCTCAGCAACATGAATATGCATGAACCATTATTTTACATAACACACACGAACCATTACATAATATCACACAGACTACAAGGCATTAACAGATACTTCTCTTTCATAGCACCATTGTCCTTAACTGCTTCATTAAAGCTACAGAGGTCTACTTCTAGCTACAGGTCAAATGTTGTTCTCTCTAGAACGCAATCTGCCAGCTGTAAAAACAACACCTGCAAATTGGTACTACAAATCTAAATTATGAAAGTAAACATGAATCAAATCAAAGGCTAATTTAATTAAACCAGCTAACTAGGGTTAAAAATCTCATTTTCTCTAGAGGAAAGGGGCTTGATGATTAAAGTGGTTCAGTTTCAGTCTTCTTTGAACAGCACAACACATTAATAAACTAGATGAATGCCTAACAGAGTACTAACTGGGGGAAGATGATCACCTGAGCTCCCCAAAGCACCAATAAACTAGAGGGTTCTCATCCAATTATCCAGTTAAAGTGCAAGTTGTTAATGTGCTTAACTTTAAGCACACTGTCATTACTAGGACTATACTTGGCTTGTGGAGTACTGGCAAAGCCAGCAAGCATAAACAGAATATATTACTTCCATTAAAACAATAAAGCAAACAAAACTTTTCAATGCAAGTATCACACTAATGAATGTAACTGTACTTATTTATATTTCCACTGAAATTGCTTTGATAACTTCTTTTCTTCTGAAGCACTACTATGCTTAGCTACTTGATTTGAGTACACCTTTCCACACTGTATCTATCTCACAATACCAGAAAACCTAACCAAGAAGTGTGAACTAATTCCTTGGAAATGGCATGGAAATGGTGAAAGATATATTTGCTAGTCATCGGTAAGCACTGTACAGTTGAGTCACCATAAATCACCTTGAGACCATGCTATTTGAAAGTACACCTTTACTTATATTTTCCTGTCTATATACTGAAGCCAACATCAGCAAATTCTTCCCAAGTGCCAACCATTAAATTCTGTTAAGCTGGCACATACAAGACGTAGGGTATTCCCAAGGTGGCCAGAACTTCTTCACTGTTGACATTTGCTTAGCCTCTTCCATACAGACACTTAGATGAACAGGAAACACCTTTCTGTATGAAGTTTCTTTCATATGACTTCATAATTACCTTCAATGTTCAAAGCAGAGTCATTAAAAAATTCTGTATGCTTGCTACTGTGGCTGCTACTGTCTTCTGTTTGAACATATTTGCTTTGTAAGGATGCAGCCCTTAAAAGTGGCTAAAATATTTTAGATAGGTAAAAAACAGCAACAACAACCCAAAGATGCTCTGTAGTTTTGTAGCTAGTGTCTCCATGCAGGTAATCTACACATTGCCACCAAGGTTCCCCCAATAGCAATGGGTCAACTAAAATACTACTGTTTTTATGGAAATCCAAATTCCCATGTATACAGCTCACATGTATAAAAATGATTCTCAGACCAAAGCACCACTTGCTTACAAGCCCAGAAGCAGGTGACTGAACGACTGCTACCATCAAATTAACCAGTTCATGAATAGCAAAAGTATTTATTACAACTGTCACACATTTCTATCACTTGCCTTTTACCATATTCTGGACAAATTCACAAATGAATGCACTTGATGGGCACTTACTCCAAAAGAGTTAGGGATATATCTGTGGGGATAATTTTATGTTGGAATAATTACTGTCTACTACAAGTATCATCATAACATATGTGATTTTTATTACTGAACTAAAAAATCCTCAGAAACATTTAAGAGAAAATATATCATAAAGTTTATTTTCTTTGGAAAAAATGTATGAGCATTTTTATTGTCAGCAGCAGTATTACAGGATGAAAAGGAAGTAGCTTGCTGAGTTTCCTTATGAATAACAGAACTAATGTCTATTTCTAAACTTAGCAGTCCTAGCCTCTAATTCCCTGAGGGAGTATGTTAAATATATCCATCTAGCTGTCTAGCTTTGATTTCTATCCAGTGCCACTGGGAGGTCCAGAAGCACCACATCCTGCACAACAGTGGAAAAGTAAGCAAATATTGATAAGCCTTGTTCAAGACAGAACCCAAAAAATAGAATGTCAAAACTGCATCATGGACATGCCTATATCAAGCACTGAATTCTGAAAACAGACAAATTCTATTGCTCCAGAATTACTTGCAAATCAGAACTATCTGTCTGTCTGTCTGTCTGTCTGTCTGTCTGTCTGTCTGCCTGTCTGTGCTCTAAGGTGGCAATGAAGAAAGGGAAAACTTTTCCCAACAACCAATATCTTCCTGCCAATTATTACCTGCATGCCCCCTCTCCCATTTAGCACAATAAAATAAATATAGAAGGAGCATAATGTATCATTCTCCCATTAGTACAATGCTGACAATGAATCAGTGTTCTGCAGCAGTTTCACTGTACAATAAAATTTCAGAACACTGAAATTTATTGTTAAACATAATATTTTTATATACTGGATTTAAAACTCTGTTATAGCCTTTGGGGGGGGGCAGCATTATTTTTCTACCTATTTTTCTATGTGTTTTTTTCAAACAACCTTTTTCTTTTTATAATATAAATAACTCTGTTGTACTATGCAATGAACACACCACATTTTTCAGAATACAAAGATGAAATGAAATTCTGACTATCTATTTCCATGGCTTCACTTCTGGGCACCAGAAAGACCATAAAATCAATGGAATTTTCAGCAAAAATTTATTTGACCCGGCAAAGAGATCTATATACCCAGTTTGGTGTATCAGATAGATAGGATTCAGGAGACCTAGGTTCAAATTCTTCTTTGGCCATAGAAGCTCACCGGGTGGTGCATGTGTAGGGGGGAGTGGTAGAACCACTCCTTAAATTGAAAGGAAAACCCTTACTTTGAAAACCCTATTAGGTTTGCTACAAGTCAGTTGGAACTTGAAGGCACACAATACACACAATGGCATTTAGCAGCTGCCCTACAATGCCAACCTGGTGCTTGGCATATATTGCTAACAAACCATCACACTGCTGTTTTCTATACAAGTAGCAGCAACCAGGTGGTGTATTCCTCACTGAAAACTTATAATTTGGATTTTTATTCCACAAGTACAGGAGAATTTGCATGAGAAAGAAATATCAATTTTGCATGGAACATCCTTGCACTCAGAAAATGTGGCTGTTACGTATAGTACAAGAACAGTTGGACAGTAATTAAGCTGGATAGAACCAAGACACCTTCTTCTTCATCCTCCTTCTAGAAGAAACTGTGTTTCCCAGGAAATTGGACTTTAAGAATAACCTATATGAGTTATAACATGAAATTCTGTGGCATGTTAATGACTTACAGGTTTATTAAGACACAAGTTTTGCCAGCACACTATATTATATAATACTGTAGATCTGTTCATATTTAAAGTACAGTACCATACAACTCTCTTATTGTGCTGCAACAGAGTAACACATTTAACATTGTGAAAACTGCTGCATAGATTATCTCATCATCCTCTTCCCTTGACGGTGCTATTTAAAGAGATCAGTTTATTAAGGGCAAAATTTGAACAATGGCACAGGAAGTGGGCATAATAACTCATCTAATCAAAATATCACATGCATCATCTTCTTATGAAGATGCTAGTTTCTACTGCTACAAGGCTTCAACTCTGGACGACTTCAGTGCTGTTTTCTGAAAGAAGAAGTAATAGCAACAAATTTTCTGCTCCTTACACATTGGACAGATGGTTGGATAACTAGGTGGTTTAGAAACCTCGCCACGGAACCAGAGGTTGGTAATTTGATTCCTCACTGGGCCTCCTGCGAGCATAGCCAGCCTGTGTGGCCTTGGGCAAGCTGCACAGTTCCAGGATGCCCCCAGAAAAAGAGAATGATAAACCACTTGAGAATTTTCTACCTAGAAAACTCTGAAAAAGGTTGCCGTAAGTCAGAATTGACATCACATCATAATTGATTTACACACTGGATGAGCCTGGGTTATTTTCAAGAAGCTGCAAATGCATATCCATATTAAAATGTTAACACAACATAATATTACACACATCTCTTTGGAAATAAATTCCAATGAGTTTAAAAAAGCTTCTTCTTATGTATGTATGCACATAACTGTAACCTTATTAAACAGCACTGAAATACATCTATACCACCAACTATAAATGGGACTAGACAGTAGGAGAGAGTAGGAGACCCCAAAATCTAGAGCAAACCCCCCTGCAAAGCTATTATCTCTTCAAAAACTAGGAATGGAGACAGATCACTCTCACAATGTTTCTATCTGGGCCTTCATATCTCTTGAAATTCTTTTGCTATTCACCACAAGTAATCTGTACAAGCAGATAAAAAGGTAGCAATGCCTACCACCTAGCTTTAATTGCCCCTATAAAAGTTTTAACTCTGGATAACTGGTACAAGGTACCTCAAAACAGGATTGATGCTGCAACTAATATACAATGCTTTTGCTGTATTAATATGCAATTCCATTTCACACATTCATTGGTGAACAACGAATACATGTTACGAAGTGTTTTGTTAAACAGACACGAGAAATGTAATAAGATTATGTAATAGTTGAATTATCAGACTGAGTGCTTACCTTCTGAACGCCACTTGTACCCATGTCTTTTTGTCCCTCTTGGGATGTACATTCTTCTGGCTTCTGTAACAATGGTGAGCATATTTCAAAATCAGTGTGTCCCAGGTCCTGTAAGTACTGATAAAGTGGTGAATTCTACAATAAAAAGTTAAAGATACAATTAACTTGGGTTTTTTATAAAGCATGTCTAGATTCACAAGCATTACAATATACCCAGGGCAAAATGTACATACTTTTATAAAATATTATATGGACTTCTGACATGAATCAGGAAACAACTTCACACGGGTGATGTTCCTTAAGAATCAGGAAAAACAGAAAGAAGGTGGCTTTTAAAAAGGAGAAAGAAAAGGTCAGTGAACTAAGAAACAGGGGTCTCAGCAAATAGCAGATGGTGGAAAAAGATGTCCTATAAATAGTGAAGAGGAGAAGGCAGCTGAAGGACTCCAACAAAGTACCAGTAGAGAGAAGAATCATTCTGTAGGTCTAAATGGCAGAGGCTGATTGTTGTTGGGGGTAGGCACAGTGGTGACAAGTAGCCAAAGATAATGTGGGAACAGACAATAGGTTGAAAAGTCTGAAAAAATATGGATAGGTAAGCATACATCCTTGAGAAGGGTTTATACATTTAGTGCTACACAAATGAAAGGAAATGCAAATGCAAAAGGTCTTTGATGATTTGTTTACTTTTGACTTTGTGAGTATTTAATTATTTATTTATTCTATTTATATCCCGCCTATCTAGTCGATTAAGACCACTCTTGGAGTACTTTGGGCTCTGGATTCAAGGTAACATGCAATTTTTCTGGTCTCTACTACTTGCAATATGATGCTAGCTGAATTTCAACTGAAAATATGAACCTCTTTGCTAATCTGACTACACATTTCTAGTAACAAAAATGGAAAGCAGAACCAACTGCACTGTTACCACATGACTATGCACCCAACTCATCCAAACCAAGTAAGCCCCACCCATGCCATGTTCACTGAAATTTGAACGAGCAGCTAAAGATTGGTCTTCTGAAGCTACAGTGAAGTGGTGGGGAGAACTATGAGAAGCAATATGCCCGACAGCCTTGTCAGCTGAAAAATTCAGTTTCTCTAAGCTACCTAGAAGGGAAAGTGACTAAGAGGCCTGATTTCTGTTAAGCCCCTATTCTTCCTCCCACACAACCTCTCAGTCCCTATTCTGCTATCCATACAAAGATGCTGTGATGCTGAGTTTCTAAACTTCTTAAAGCCTCAAATTCTAGACATATATACCACAATTTTAAGGTTGCCAGCAGCTGCCCCTCCCCATTTTACTGCTCACTTGCAAGGCTACGTGATAACACATACAACTTCTGTGGTGCTGGTATGGAGGAACAGCCTCTAAAAGGTTGCAGAGGTCAGAGTGTGTCCTGAGAAGGTTCCAGGAACACAGTTAAAGGGAGGGCTACTTGATATTACAACCCTCTATCATACACATTGGAAGCAGTCTGGGTCATTTTTTGAAAAGAGAGTTGATTAACAATAATATTACATTCCTTGGTTCTATACTATTATACTGTACTAGTTAAAAATTCAACACAATGACTAGCAATGCCTCTTAATCACAGTAGTCCAACTGTACAAAAGATAAGCATTAAACAAACTATACAGTAAAAACAGATATTCGTTAGAGAAGGAATGGACTTTAAAACAAAGATTTTAAAATTAAGATTAATTTGGTAGTGTTTAATTTTTTACTATCACATTATCCACATCTCCCCTCATTTAACATATTGATTTTATAATCCAGTGTGATTGTTTTAACAGATGGATCTCTAAATATAACACAAATGTATTTGGCTAGTTTATTATCATAGCTGCTAAAATCAAAGCCACACCTAGGTAATTTTTGCTGATGCATTTATACAGGAAATGACTAAGACTTTCTCCACTAGGTCTCCGCCCTCTACCATCCCACTATCTTTCATTTGTAATAATCTTTATTAACGCTTAACTAGATAAACAGTGGGATTTATAAATCTAGCTTAAATTAAAAAAACAACAACCATAGTATCCTTGTTTAAAACCACAACAAAGCTAAAGACAGTGTGTCAGGAACCAAAACATAAACAAGAGACAACACTATTAGCAATATTAAATATGGTTCCTTCTCTTTCCTTCTCTCTCTCTCTTTCACTCTCTCTCACACACACACACACATAGGGAGAGGGAGAGAGAGAGAGAGAGAGAATATTCCTGGGCAATAACAAAAACTGAAAGTTGAAACAAAAACCAACCAAGATTATTTTGAAGTTTATGCTTCACACACACACAGGCACACACATAAAACTTACAGGTACCGCAATCCTCGTCTCCTGGAAAATGTGATTCCACCTCTCTCTCAGATACTTTCCCAGCACATCTGAAAAGATTTCTTCCACCTCCCCATTTCTTTCTGTTTGTCTCTCCAGGATGACTGGAGCAGAAAATCAGAAGTACAAGTCAGAGAAAGTGCACCTGTGCTCTTGCACAGGAACATTTTCCTGGCATCAGCAATAAGCAGCAGCCAGCAGCAACTCACAAAGACAACACAGTTTCTCCTGTTACCATATAATAGGAGGAACCCAAAAGCAGTTGACGAGTTCTTAAAGGCTTTTAGAAAGCTACTGACTAAAAGAAAGAATACACATTAAGACTCTATCAAGTCCATTGCAAACACTTGCCAAGCAACTGTATTTAAAAGCCTTAGTCATATTCCTTTGGCTCATAATCATTTTAGCCTGCTTATTACCTAGCAAACTGCTCGTAAATTTCATCTCAGATGACTACAAGACAGTAATTCTGCAAATGCACATGATCCATGCATTTCTGAATATGCAAACTTATTTTCTTCTCTGTTAAGAACTGTGTTTCTCCTACAACAGATTGTCACTCACATTTTCCAAAATGCTTTGCAATATGAGTCAGAAAGGAACAATGTAACAAAGGAAACGTGGATAAAGTGGCTTGACCTGTATGTAGCAAACTATGACTCCAAAAAAAGTCAAATAGTTTCTAAGGATACACTTGTGACTGTTCCAAAAAAATTGGAAGCAAAGCTTAGAAAGCTACTTTGAAAAAGTAGTCAGTTACAGCTCCAATTCTGCACCCCACATTTTTAGTTAGCTACTATTATGATTACAATTTTATTTCGTTAGTCAAACTAAAATAATTACCTAAAAAACTGTCACTGGCCTGAAATACAAAACACATCTGAATAATGAGGTCACATACCTTCTGTGGTGATAAAGGTAAAACAATTACATTCCCACTGCCAAAGGAATTAAATTATCCTTCATTATATTTTAACTTCATTGCACCTTAGCTATTGTAAAAAGAAATTAATTAAAAGTAAACAAATGTGTCATTACTCTCATACTCATTGTAGACAATACAAAGGTACCGCCATGCCCATTTCTTCCTATAAAATCTAATTAACTCCCCACTTAGTAAGGCACAGCTGTCACTAAAACCCGAGATAATTTCAAAGGGACATGAGCAAAAAGGCAAAGACTAGCTTTCTGAGGATCCTTGTGCTTCAAGCATCTATATCTCTCTGTGTGCTGAGCAAACACATAAAAAGAGAGAGATGGCTGGGCATGTAATGTACATTATGCACCATATGTGTACATACATGCATATACATGTGGGTAGGTGTGCAATATACAATACAGTATATAGTACATCATAGACACACATCTGTGTGTACACACATACATACATATATCAAACTTTCAAAGTATTGTTGTTGCCTATTGGTATTTCAGTAAGAAATATTTCCAAATTTATGCCATTACTGATTTTAAAAAATCAACTATGCAGAGAAAACTAAGCAAACCTTAAATCACACTCAAAAACAAGCAAATATTGATAATGTTGTGGTAATTTTGATTTTTTTAGCACTCCAGGTATATCTAGAGTGCTTCCATTACATCCAAAATATAACAAGGCAGATAATATGGCTCATGAATGAAAAGATCATGACAGAGCAGTACTTCTAGTAACATATTTCTCATGAATCTTTTTTTTAAAAATGTTGTGGTTGCACTAAGGAAACCCTTTAAACTAATGAAAACATTCCTATGAAACTGTGAAGACTGCCATATTTTATGTTTTTCCATTACTTTGCAATGTTATAGAAAAAAATCAAGAGTGCATCTCAGAAGAAAATTTTAAAATACTTTACAAGAATTAAAGTTTTCAAAGAGTGGGAAAAAATTACTTTTTACATCAAGCATGTATTATAGCGGCCAGTATTTTGCATTTCACAAAAGGGTTTTAAGACAGACATTACAACCAAACAATGTCCTAGCCACTGAAAACATGATGTGAATCCATACATCTCTCCCTTACTTAAGTCCTTAGCAGCACTTAAATTAACTCACATGCTCATATTTATATAAACAACATATTCACATGTGCAATTAGTTGTTAACAAGGGAAACAACTGGATTTAGCTCATTATTATTGTCCATCTACAATCCTCTCATGTTTTCCTGTAGCTTCTTCCCTCTTTTCTGTTATCATTTTAAGTTGGAAAAGATGCACAGTTCCCATATGTGGAAGAGCCCTTAGAGCTACTTTCCCATCTTCTTCAAGATGTGTGGTTTTGATGTTGATAAGTGTTCAATACTAATTTTTTCAGGGGTCATTTTTGACCTCCTAGGACCATGTAGATTTTTAATTATCTACCCAATGGCTACTCAGTTGAAATGGACATTCCCTTTCCATACCTAGCTATGTCATAATCCACTAGAGTACACAGAACACAACAGAATGAACATACAGGAAAACAGTAATATTCCTGGAAGGGTGAAAAAATAATTGCAATTAAGTTTGTAGCCTTTAAGTGTGAGAACCATCCATCTGGAAGCTATTATGCTTTGTCCTCACCATAGTTAACCTTTAAACAAATGAAACATTTCAATGGCAACATCCAAACTACTTCCCACTTCAAACAGCCCTTGTACCATCAGTAGAGTTGAAAAACCCTGACAAAAACATGACAAATCAGAAAAAATGTTCTCATATTTTTTGTCAGAAAAAAGGAAGAAAATTAATTTTTTTCTAATTCTTCTGGGTCTTTACATCTCTAATTGTCAACAATTTGTTTCTTCTCCTCCCGCACCTCAAAATCTATATTCCACCCTGAACTCTGCTCTTTAGAATAAACACTGAGGATGTGTTTGGGCTCTGTGGGGAAATAGAATGTCTTCCTTTCTGGTCCCACCAATGAAGGTGATTTCCATCAGCTGATACACACCAATGGATCCCAGCTAAAATTTAAAGAGTGCTTGAACTTACAGCATGTTGTCTGCCAATAGTCAAAGCACTAGTATGGCTGTTAACAGCTGCACTGAAACAATGACCGTGTTGAGATGTAGGTTCTGAACATCAACACAGGTCTAAACAATACAGTATAAAGAAGCAAACAGCAGTCCTTATACTGAGGAACAGTTTATACCAATACAACTAGAGCATGAAACTGAGTTGTGCCATGTACAGTCTCATATGGGAGGAAACAGGTGTGAAATGGGAGGTTCCCCCAAATACTGGTGTGGCTATCAAATATTTACGGAATATGTACCCATCAATCTGTCAAGGCAGACAAACCAAGTGTGGTTTCCTAACTGTATTTGTTTCCGTTCCAGGAGCCCTCTGTAACACAACCTAGGAATATGTCCAGATGAGGAGTGCTTGCCTTTTAACTTGTTTCTTCTGATTATGGCTAACACAACCGGCACCATGCTTTTGAATTACGTTCTTAGCAAACCGAAAATATTTTTTTTTAAATATTACTTTGGAAAAGATCTACCCCTCTCCCTCACAGAGTTTGGACCAGCCTCCAATAACGGGGGCAACTCTACCAAGCTCAGTTGTGAGCAGACCGACCTGGGACTGGGCTGCAAAGCACCCCTTTTGTCTCTGCCACTCTTGCTTAAGAGCCACGGATTAGGGCTGACATGTGGCCCTCAGAGAGAAGGCCCAACGACCACAGGCCTCTCTCCCGCCCACTGTGTGAGAGACCCCCCCCTCGGCAACTACCGCCGCTGGCCCTTCGGATAACTTTGGCCGAGCCAGCCAGCCGGTCGTTCGCCCGCCCACCCGGCTGCCCCACCTGCCGGGGGCCACGAGGAGAAGGCGGCGCCGAATCGCTCTGTGGACACCGAGACACCGCTCGCTATGCCACCCACCGAGCTCCTTCCCCAACGCCACCCACCTCAAACACCACTTCGTCGTCAAACTCCGGTGTCATCCTTCTCCGCCATCCGTGCCACTCTCTGCGGGCACGACGGGAAAGCGAGTCCGCCAAGCGCCGGCGAGATAATCGCCTCGGGCGGCTTCGCCGAGGGAGCCCACAAAAACTACAACTCCCAAAAACCACCGCGGTAGACCCGGCAGCGGCTGGGAGAGCGCACAGCTGATTGGAGAGCAGCGGCTGGGCAGGGAAAGGGAATCAGGTTTTCGAGTCTGTACTGGCCGTTCTTGGCCTACAGGGGGCGCCTCGCGGCAGCGCGCCGGAGAATCCAGGGGACTCCGCGAAGCGCTCTCGACGGCCGGGCGAAAACTCGTTCCTGCGCTCAGTCGGTCGCTCGCTCGCCTTCCCGAAGGGAATGCTTAACTTGGAGCCGGAGGAACGAGTTGCCCTTATCGGCAGCTGCCGGGCAGGAACGGCTGGCTTCTTCCTTCTCCGAAGCACCCCTGAGAAGAGCCGCTATGCCTTAAAAGGGGGTGTGTGCTGAGGGATTAGGCGATAAAACGAGGCGCATGGGAGGGAGGCACCATGAGTACAGCCGGTGAGTGCCCGAAAAGTTGTGTGTCTGGTAGTCGGGGGGGGGGAGGCAGTTTTCTTCCCCCCCCCCGACCGAGCGCCGGAGTTAAATACAGCCAGTTTAGGGGCAGCTAAGGGTGAGGGGGGGAGAACCAGAGGAAGGGGCAGCTGTCGCCCCCGCCTTCTCTTTCCCCCCTGAATACACAATGCAAGGAAATGGCTTCTTTTTCTCTTTCCCCTTCGGCTTATTCTCTTTTTTTCCGAAAGACCCTGAGAAGGGAAGGGGAGGGTCGCCTGAAAGTTTCCTCCCCAGTTCGGGTTTCTTGCCTTGTCCAGAACTTCCACTCTCCCTCATTATCTTCAGTCCTGACCTAAGGTCTCCTTTCTTTCTCTCTTCCCTTGTTTTTCCCCCCAGTAAGGTCGGGTGAGAAGAGCAAAGCGCCCACCTCCTGGATCAAGCTTCTCTCCTCTCCTTTCTTCTCCCCCCCCCCGCTCCCCAAATCCTCTCAGCCTTCCTCCGCCCTCATCACCTTTGTCCCCCCCTCCTTTTGTGGATTGTTGTCTTGAGTTCGTCTGAGAGAAAAAAGGGTGAAGTAAATTAACTTTCGTCCTTCGATTTATTTATTTATTTATTTATTTATTTTGCGTCTGTTGAGGTTTTGTTTTGCTTTCTCCCGACCTCAACCTCTGAGGAGAAATAAAGCCTTCCCCCCCCCCCC